ACGAAATATAAGAAGTAAAACCATGCTGTTATGTTGAGTTATAGGTGACTCAGGTCAAAAATTTCCGAAATTGCCAGTGAAGCGGAAGACCCAATACTATTAGGGACTAATGAACTCTTTTGGATTATTTTGCTGAGTTAACTCACCTATAATATTCAAATAATGGAACTTAACCAAAAAAATGAATATCAAAAAAATGACAGATGAATGTCCATTTTGTATCTGTGTATTCAAGGTGGTTGGGATAGATATATAGTTACATTCTCTTAATGAATAGAGTGATTTGTTCTAAAGGTGTTTGTAGATAGGATATCATGTCTGCATCTTGTATAGCAATTAACCAGGGGGAGGAATGTATGCAATGTGTTAATTATTGAAACTATCCGATTTGAAAAAAAAAGATTAGATTACAACTGTTGTTTGGTTTTTACTTTATGGTTTTCATTCTTAAAAATTAAATTTATCCATTGTTGAATTCCACAAAAAATTAAATGAAATGGAAAAAAAAAGACATTGTTATTACTCCATATTCCCCCTCGCCTCAAACATACCTATCCCATTCTTCTTGCCACTTTCTGAAGCAGTTCTGCAAGTCCTCTTTCATGAGCCTCTTTACAAGATGAAAAACAGAGAACGCTGCTGCCAAGTGCCATCCAATGGAAAGGCAGGCTGCAAATGTACTGCAGTGCTTCCTCACAGCACCATGTTACTTCCGGCTCTCGGCCCAAGTCAAGATGACCAGAAAACACGTTCTGAATTGATTCAGGATGTAGGGGGTGTTGGCTCTCAATTTGGTTAATTTGGTCCTAGCAGAAGCTCTAGGTTAGCTTTCCCTGCCCTTGTTAAGATGTTGTAAATAGGGGCTGGGGAGATGGCTCAGTGGAATAAGCATTTGCCTGACAAGCACAGGGGCCTGAGTTCTTCAATCCCCAGTTCTGCTAAAAAAAAAAAAGAGATGTTGTAAACATGTCAAGAGATAAGAGGAAAACAGAACCAATTCCAAAGAATCTCATGACTTACTTGACTTTTAAGTTAACCACAACATTCCATCATAGTCGCCATGGAAATCAAGAAGGGATTTAAGCAGGGACAAACAAGGCCAGACCTGCTTCTGATCTGTAAGGACTGGGGGAAGTGTGTTAGGATGGTAGTTGGACACTTAAGATCTGTAACCCAGGAAGTGTCTGCTGGTTGGCTTCATTAATAAACTCTGTTTTTTCCAATTTTCAGTCTGACATGGAAATAATCTCTCCATTTCAAGGACACTGAGGCAGCTATAACAGCACAGCTAAAGACACTCATGAAACTGGACACCAGCACTGCTTCAGGAAGTGGCAGGAATACTGGCAAAAGAGTAAAGGCACTGAGGCCAGCGTGAAGAATGCGTGAATGTTCAAACAATAGATTCTGAGTGGGGATCCTGTCCTTTGTTATCTCAGGATTGTCCCTGGGGTCAATAGGGACCTCCACTGGATATTAGAAATGCAGCTTTGACCTCACTCAGGTACCTTAAAGCAAAAATTGCAGTTTTAAAAAGTGCAAGGGGGTCAAAGCCAGGGCCCTGCACATGCCAGGTGAGTCCTCTATCCCGACCCACATCCCCAAGAAAAGCTGCAGCTTAACCAGACCTCCTTGTAATTTATGGAAACTTTAGTGTGAGAATCCATCTTCTAATCAACATCCTCTCAAATAGGAGGAAGCATGGCTGTCAGTAAGGAGTCAGTATGGAGCTGGTGCCAGAAGTCAGCTCTCCTGATACCTTGTCTGGTGCATTCCTATTGTGCCAAAGTCCGAGTTGGTTAATTTGAGTTAGTGCTCTACACACCTTCAACATGGGTTTCAGAGCCAGACACTGCAGAAGTTAAGTCCTAGCTCTACCACTGGTACATAATAAGTCGCCTTTGTTTCTTTTTATAGTAGTGGGTAAGCCCAGGGCTTCTGCACTGAGCTAAAACTGCAGGTTGGACATGAACTTGTGATCTTGCCAAGTAGAGTTACTTACGCTGATTCCACTTTACTAAGCCAAAAGTAGGTTTTCTTGACTTACACACACACACACACACACACACACACACACCAGATAGGAGATTGAAGATCTAAGACTCACCTGTGAGCAAGCCCTCAAGCAAGTGGGTTTTAGCATGAAACCACCAACCTGCTTCTTGTCTCTGCTTTCCTCAGCCTCTTTCTGCCTATAAAGCCAACCTCCTGCTCAGCTTGGAATGAAATGTCCCGTGGTTCCAGAATTGCAAATAAAAGCCAATTGGGGGGATGGGGCGATGGCTCAGTAGAATAAGTGCTTGCCTGGCAAGTGCAAGGGCCTGAGTTCAATCCCTGGTTCTGCAAACAAAACAAAACAAAACAAAACAAAACAATAACCTAAAAGCCAATTAGGGTGTTTGTTATGCTCTGTGTCATTAATATTCTTTAAAAATTAATAAACCTGGGGCTGGTGAGATGGCTCAGTGGTCTAAAGCACCTTCTTAGAACAAGCTTAGCAAAGCACAGGGACCGCGGTTCAATCCCCCAGCACCACATGCCTGCCAGCCCTGCCCCCTGGTGGGCTGAGCTGGCCACACACACACATAAATAAATAAAATTAAAAAAAAATTCCATCATTTAAAAAAAAATTAATAAACCTGAGAGGGCTGGTGAGATAACTCAGTGGACTAAGCTCCTGCTTTGGCAAGCACAGGGACAAGGGTTCAATTCCTGGTCCTGCATGCTGGGCCGGCCCCACCTCTGGGACACACTGAGCCGGCCACCAAGTCTGAGCATGGTGGCACATGCCTATAATCCCAGGGCTGGGGAAGCTGAAAACAGGAGGATCAGTAGGAGTCCGAGCTGCATAGTGAGACCCTGTACCAAATACATAAATGAAAAAAAAAAAAAAAAAACAAAACACTTAAAAAACTTGGGGCTGGAGTACAACTCAGAGGACCATACTGAGCCTAGAATGTGGAGGGCCTGGAGTCTGAGCCCCAGTACCACACACAACACAAAACAATCTTGGGGCCAGCCAAATAACTCAGCAGATTAAAGCGCCTGCAAGTAGGCACAGTGGCCAGGGTCAATCCCTGGGCCTGCCATGCAGGCCCCATCCCCAGGGCACACTGAGATGGCAATTGGGACTGGGCATGGTGGTGCACACCTGTAATCCCAGCTCTTGGAAGGCTGTAAACAGGTGGATCACTATGAGTCCGATCTAATAGTGAGACACTGAACACCCTGTAGATCCCTTCCTAAAATTTAAAAAAAAAATCTTGAACTTTACTCTTTTAGAGTTCAAGTGTAACATGTAACTGAGAAGCCGAGTTCCCATACGATGTGTCTACTCACCACTGTGAACAACCCTGATATTCACATTCTGCGCTGTTAATAACAATAGGAGTAATAGTGTTATAGGCAGATGCACTGGATAGAAATATAGGCAGTCAGGCAGGGCCAGGGAGACAATACAGAAGAGAAGATACCCTGCAACTTAAGGAGAGACAGGCACTCCCATGTGTCCAGATCTCAAGACACAAGAGCAAACAAACGGAGCCACATACTTCCCTAGGAATGGGCATCAGAGACTGACGTTCTAAATAGGTATTAATCACCTTGAAGAAGCCAGGAAGAGTCACTGACTTGGGCCAGGGAGACAGCTCAGTAGAATATGCACTTGCCTGGCAAGTGCAAGGGCCTGAGTTTAATCCCCTGTTCCAAAGGGGAAAAAAAAAGTCACTGACCCAATTTGTACAGGAAAAGCCCCTGTTCTGTATTCACACCTGATTGCTATATGACTTATTTTCCCATTTGATCCGATTTAATCAATTTTACCTGAGCAATTGTGCTTGTAGTCTTATTAGTTGACCATAGTTTTGTCCCACCTCATGCCCACCTAGTGAGTTCCTATGTTTTCCACATTAGATCTACCTCACCTCATTGTTTTGCTTTATAAAAATCCCTGGAAAAGGCAGATTCCTGGGCAATCCGCTCGGGTTCTCTTCTCTGTCTCTGAAAGAAGCTTTCTTTTCCCCCAAAAAATATATTCTGCTTTTAGATATCTGCTCTTGTTAACCTAAAATTCATTCTTTGGTTTTAAAGAACACGAACTCGGCCTAAGTATCTTTCAGGTTGGGAGTTTCATTCCCCTATATCAATAGCACTTGTCCTCACACCAGACCAAACTTCAAAATAATTCTGCAGCCTCTAAAGAATCACTTAAAGTCCTGTGTAGTGCCTGATGTAACAGGACTCTTTTCCTCATGTGCTGTTCTGCTTTGGCAGGCAGAATTTGATTCTGATTTAGAAATTGAGAGTGGGACAAGCCAGCATAGTGGTGCATGCCTGTAATCCAAAGCACTCGGGAGGCTGAGGCAAGTGATCGCTGGGTTGGAGGCTAGCCTGGGCTACACAGTGAATTTAAAGCCAGCCTGAATTGGCTCGGGAGAACCTGTCTGAAAGCAAACAACCAGACCCCTAAAACACAGAGCAGGAGAAGGCATTTCTACCGATCTCAAATCGGAGATGACGTCGATTCTGAGGCGCCGGCCTTCGGGGCTGGGAGCTGCGTCAAACCCAAGTCCTAGGATCACAGTGGATGCCAGGATATCAGCCCCAGCAAAGGGAGCTAAAGGGCGTGGCTCTGCGTGAGAAATCAGTACCGAGACCTAGATTAAGTGTTTGGTACTTGGAGATTGCTCTTTGGAAGCTCAGCTCTGGAAGACGCGCAAGGGAAAGGCGCGGGCTGCGTTCTGAGCTTCGAAACTCTGGGACAATGTTGGAAGATGAGGCCTGGGGAGTCCCGACGATGCGGTAACAGCCCATCCCTGTCCAAAGCTTCTGGGGCTTGTCCCTCTGCTCCCCAGCCTTCTTTCTCGTTTTAACTGAGTTTTACCTGTCCTCCTTTCCTAGACCCAGTAAGAATTTCAAAAAACAGCACTTCAGGGAAGTGCCCCTGCAAGCCGGAAGTAGCTGCAGCTCGCCGTCACTTCCAGCGCAGTTCCCGCTATACCTCATGGGAGTTGTAGTCCTGCGTGGGCGATACTTCCCAGGCAGGAGGGAAACTGGCTGCTTCTAGGGCCCAGTCAATACTGTTCTGGGATTTCTGCTTCTCTTTAAAAAAATTTTTTTTTTCTAATTTCTGCTTTTTGAATCTTTAATTCCAGAGTTTTAAACACTGCTCAAAAGTTCTGTGTGAATTATACTGTGTGCTCTGAGATACATTACTAGCTTTCTTTAGTGATTGTATGTAGATGATTTTTTTTTTTTTTTCTCTGAGACAGGGTTTTACTATGTAGCCCATTTTGGCCACTTACTCATAGCGACCCTACTGTCCCAGCTTCCCCAGTGCTGGTATTACAGGCATGTGCCATCACACTCAGCTTTTTAAAAACATTTTATTTATTTATTTATTTTTGTTTATTTAGGACAAGGTCTACAGGGTCTCACTACATAGATGTGACTTGTAGTGATTCTGTTTTCAGAAAGACTTTTGGATTTGAGGCAATCTCAGCCTCCCAAGTGCTACCCAGTCTCAGTCGCTGTCTCAGCGTGCCCTGGGGGCAGGACCAGCACATCGCGGGATCAAACCCATGCTGGCTGGCTGCTGTGCTCTGCCTCAGCAGGCACTTTGGTCTACTGAGCTATCAGGCCAGTCCTCAGCAGTATTTTTAGACGTCTTGCTATATAGCCCATGCTAGCCTTGAACTCACTATCCTCATATTTCAAGTCTTCCCAGTGGTGGGATTACAGGATGAACTACTATGCCTAGTTGATACTTGCTTTTTATTTATTTATTTATTTATTATTATTATTATTATTATTATTGGGAAGGGTCTACAGCATGTCTAGGGTCTCACTACTAGATCGGACTAATAGTGATTCTGGTTGTTTTTTTTTTTGCGGAACTGGGGATTGAACTCAGGCCATTGCACTTGCCAGGGAAGCGCTTATTCCACTGAACCATCTCCCCGGCTGCTGATGCTGTTTATAGCCTTTCAAGTGCTGGGATTACAAGGGAGCACAACCATGCCCAGTCTCAATTGCAGCACAGCAGGCCTGGGGATCAAAGAAAACAAAATAAAAGGCATGACATTGATTAAAACAGTTCAGAAACTGGATAACCTAAAATAAAAACATCCTTTTCTGTACTTAGTTCTTTCCCTAAAATGAGAACACTTGCCTCTCTTTCTTTTTAGTTTTTCTTTGAGACAAGATCTCACTATGTAGATCAGGGAGGCCTCAAACTCATGGTGATCCTCCTGCCTCAGCCTCCTTAGTGCTGGGACTACAATCATTAGCCAACATGGTGGATTCTCTCTCTGTCTCTCTTTTTGAGATAGGGTCTCACTGTGTAGTTCAGGTGGGCCTGGACCCCTCAGTGGTTCTCCTACCTCAGCCTCTCATGTGCTGGGACTAATGTAAGTCCTCCTCCATGAGGCTTTGGCTTTGCTGCCCTGGCTGCCTTGATGTCCTGATTCCAAGAAACAAAGAAAATAAATAAATAAATAAATTCTACAAGAATCAAGACTTCACGGGGCATGGTGGCGCAGGCTTGCAGTCCCAGACCTGGGGAGGCTGAGGCAGGAGGACTGTGAGTTTGAAACCACCCTAGCTACTTGTGCATTCAAGGCCAGCCTGAACTGCAGAGCAGAACCCTGACTCAATGTCCCCCACCCTCTAAAGAATCAAGACTTTGTGTGAGCACAAAAACAGTTCCACAACTTATTCATTATGTTGTGAAACAAACAAGCACTTCCTACATTGGCTTATTTCCTTCCACCCTTACTTTTAATTTTTATTTATTTATTTATTTATTTTATTTTTTGCAATACTGGGTATTGAACTCTGGGCCTTGCGCTTGCCAGGCAGGTGCTTAAGACTCCAAGTTATCTCCCCTGCCCCAACCTTTCAAAATAACATTTATTTATTTATTTTATTTTTTGCAATACTGGGTATTGAACTCTGGGCCTTGCGCTTGCCAGGAAGGTGCTTAAGACTCCAAGTTATCTCCCCTGCCCCAACCTTTCAAAATAACATTTTTTAATCCCAGCACTTGGGAGGCTGAAAACAGGAGGATCACTAGGAGTCAATCTACATAGTGAGACCCTGTAGATCCTGTACTAAATATATTTTTTAAAAATAATATTTTTTGGAGATCTCCTGAGAATACAAAATCCTATAAACAGAATAAACACTCAGAGTACCCCCGCCTCCTTTTCAACGAATTTTAAAATATACAGTACTGCCTCCAATTTTTTTGTTTTTTCTTAAGAAAATGAATAAGAAAAAGGAAATGGAGAGATGATTAGGAGAGTTTGTAAAAGCAGTGGGCCTTTTTCAACTTCAAGACAAACAGCTCACCACCGCTTTCCAAACTCCAACAGCAGCTCCCAGGCGGCACCCTTGCGTGAGGCGTGCGACCTGCCTGTCTTTGCACGGCCAATGAGCGAAGGGTTCCGTCAGCGCGCGGCCAATGGGAGTCGTTCACCGCCTGCGCGCGGCCAATGGGAGGCAGCGCTCACCTCCGTCTCCATTGACAACTGCGGAGCAGTTCACCACGGATCTAACACGGGCTCTTTCCCCGCGTAGAGCTGCAGTATTGCGCTCTGGAAAGGTTTGCAGTGTGCTGCTCCGGGACCCGCTGCGCCTGCAGTTTCTGAGAAGAGCGACGGATTTACTCATCCGGATGGACGCGATCCTGGGCTACAGGGTGGACGACGGTGAAGATTACTACGCGCTGCTGGGCTGCGACGAGCTCTCCTCGGTAAGATGGGGCTGCGGCTCCGTCTCCGCACAGCGTTTCAACAAGTTGTTATCCACAGTTGAACTTGTCGTCACGTCGCCTGCAAGCCAGTGCGGCATCATTTTCAGGTACTTTGGGCTCGAGGACCCGCGAGAGTCTACATGGTGGCTCCCGGGCCAGCTCGAGTCCAAAGGCAACGGTGCGGGCGCTCCTGACTGAACACCGTGTTCCGGCAGGTGGCCATGAATTCCGTTTCACAATATGCTAAAAAGTACATATTTGAAGATTTAGAGCAATTGCTGTTGGCACTGTTTTACAGTATACACAGCTAAACCTTTATTATGGTAATTCATGCTATAGTTGAGGTGAGATATAATTTTCCAGTAAATTAATGATATTTATTCTCTCTCCCTCCCTTTCCCCCTCCCTCCCTCTTCCCCCTCTCCCCTTCTATCTCCTCTCCCCTCTCCCTCTCTCCCCCTCCTCCTCCCTCCCTCTCTTTCTCCCTCTCTCCCCCTTTCCCACCTTCCCTCCCTCTTTCTCTCCCTCTCCTTCTCCCTCTCCCTTACCCACCCTCCCTACTTACCTGTCTCTCAGTTCAGGCTGGCCTTTGCCTCAGGATGTAGCCCAAGCTGTCCTCAAACTTGCAGCAATCCTCTACCTGTTCTCCTGAGTACTGAGATTGCAGGCATGCGCCACCACGCCATTATGTTGTTCTTATTAGTTAAATATTTCTCCTCAAAAATAATGCATTGCTTTTGTTTATTTTGATGGTAATTTACTTACAGCAGTTGAGAAAGCTTATTGCTATTTTTATCCTGTATGTTATTCACACATTGTACTGTTAGCAAATAATTTTTTCCCATAATTTTATTGAGAAACAAATAGCAATGAGACAGTTTCAAACCAAATTGGTAGGACAGTTTCAATAATTATTACATTGCATACATTCTTTAGCAAATAATTTTTAAAGAAATTATTTAAAATTAAAGGAACATAATTTAACTTGATAAGTTTCACAATTTTGATTTTTTTTGTAGGAGTGTGTGTGTGTGTGTTTTTTTCTGTGCAACCAGGGATTGAACTCAGACCCTTGCGCTTTCCAGGGAAGCGCTTATGCTACTGAGCCATCTCCCTGGCCCCTGTGTGTGTGTTTTGAGACAGGATCCTTCTGTATAGTTTAGGCCGGCCTTAAACTCACTGTTTAGCCAAGCTTAACCTTAAACTCATGGCAACCTTCCTCAGTCTCCCCAAGTGCTCCCAACAGCGCCACCCTACCTAATTTAAAGATCTTTGATTTTCAGTGGAAGTGACCAGCTATGGTTTCTTTACTTCTTTTTACATGTATCTCTTCCTGTCTTATTTTTAATTTTTTTGTCATTTTTTTGACTATGTAGTATGGCATTTCCTTAACTTGATTTGTATTAGTTGAATTTCCTTTACTTCAAATATTCTTTGATTTGATGCTCTAAAACTGATCAGAACACTTCATACTCAAAATTATTTCAAAGAAATTTGAAATTTGGATTTTATGTACAATTAAGTTGAGATAACCACATGCTGCTTTGCTTTGATGCAGCACATAGTTCTTACAATTTAAAGCTTGTGTTAAGTTCAAAATGGCAGTTGAAAAGCTTTTTTTTTCTCAGAGACCTCAGGAAACCACCCTTCACAAATTAAAAACTCATGATGATAAATACTGAGACTACTTTTCCTTTTTTACCTAAAGCATAGCAAGTATTAATCAGGAGAGGAGGGGCTGGGGATGTGGCTTAGTGGTATAAGCTACTGGCTGGCAAGTACAAGTTCCTGAGTTCAGTCCCTGGTTAAAAAACAAAACAAA